AGAAGCTCATTTCCCTTGAAAGACAAATAAAAGTCCAGTTCTGCAGATATGTTCAAAAACTGAAAAGCATAAAAAAAGTGAAAATCTCTACAGCTTATAATTTATTTTTTTTTTTAATTTTTTTTTTTTTAGTGTCAGGATTTTGGGTTATCTGACTCCCATCTTGGAGTTTTGAATTATTTGAGAAAAAGGAAAAAGACCTAAAGAAAGCTGGTGGACGCTGGGGTGTGCCAGCAACTTAGGAGGAGGGTTCACGTAAAAGGCCCCAGGGTGGATTTAATAAATTGATTAAAGCTGAATAATTTCCTGGCCAGGGTAAGATTCAGTTCAACAGTAATAGCTGATTTCACTGTGGCTTTACAAAGCTCATCCCTACTCCCCGGGCAGCCCAGGAGACCCTCAGGTTTGCCATAAGGAGACAAGTCCAGATGCTGGAGGGCTGCCGGGAGGCAGATGTTGAGAGAGTATCTCCAGGAAAGCAAGCTGCCAGTGGTGTTTGCCCAAAATGGGAGCTGTCAGCACCTGGGAGAGATCTTCTGCCCATTGCCCAGATGTCAGTGGGTTTGGGTTGGGATCCTGCAGGGTCTGGGCAGCATGAACGGGCAGAGACGCTGCCAGGGGCCACCCCAGGGCTGAGAGGCAATATGGGAGAGGGAGGGATCCCTTGGCTGAGCCTTTGCAAAGGGTCACAGCACCCACTCTCCTGCCCTTGTGCTGTGGTGGGTCGATTGCTGCCAGCCCTGAAGCAGGTCCTGCAGCCAGCCAGGAGCATCTCAGGCTGCTCTGGACACCTCACACTGCCCTGACTGCCACAGTGATGGGAAATGAATCTGTCCTGCGTGTCTGTGCCATCCTCTGTCTGTCTGTGCCATCACCTGCCCTGCCTGTGCAGTCACACTGGCATTACTCTGCTGGACACAAGGAGTTTGGCTGCCAGGAGCAGTGACAGCTGGAGGTAGGAATAACAACAGCCCATGACCTCCCCAGTGCCCCCTTCAGAAGGAGTTCTGCCTCCACCAAGGACTGGGAGCCCTGGGAACACATGAGCACTGACTTCCTGAGGTCACTGGGAGCTGAGCCCTGGGGCTGCTGGGCAGTGTGGTGGGTTTTTCGCTTAGTCAGTAGGATGGCACTGGGAAGTCCTTGTTCGGGAACAAAGGATGCTCTTTCAATCTGGGACCAGCACGAGTCATTTCGAATCACCTCCTGACCTCCAGCAGTCAGCTGGCTGGGCCTGCAAGCTGGAAGCTCAGCAGGCAGGGAGGGATCTGGCTGCCCAGCTTGGTGGGGAGAGGGTGGGAAAATGCCATTGGGCTCCGGCAGAGGAAACAGCTCTCACGACATTTCTTGTTGCATTTGGGACGTGGAAAGGACTGGAAACATGCCTGCCGGCTGGAGGGGGATTCTCAGGGCTGTGTAGCTTTGCACAGAGGAAGTGACCATCTATCATAAGGAAAATCCAGTGACAAACTCCTGACATACTTAACTTTAGGATGTTAAGGCAGGTACTGGGCTGAGGGGCTATACCAGGCTGAAGTGGAGCACTGAAGCACTGTGCTGGGGCAGCTTTCATGGCTCCTGATGGAAAACAGTGGGGAAAAAGACTGGTAGAGTCAGGAGTCCAGATGAGATGCTTCCCTGGTGCAGAACTTTCCCTAGAAGAACCATGGTATAGGGAGGGGATGCTGCTGGGAAGTGCTGCTGGGTGTCCCCCACCTTGTGGGGGAGCATCAGGGAGCCCCAGATGCACTGGAAATCTGTTTTTTATTGAAGTCCTGACAAAGAAGAGGAGAGACCTCTCCTTTCCCACAAGCTCAGTTTCCAGCGTGAGGTCTTGGATCAAGCAGGTATAGTTTGATACCAAAGATTTCCAGGAGCCCTGCGACAGGATAGGACAGCTTCTCCAGCCACAGTGCTGCACAGCAGCAGGGATGGGATGGTGCCACTGGCAAGCTGAACCTTCTAAGGGACGCTGGTCCTCAAACCTACAGCAAGCACCAGTGGGAAGAAAAATTATCTTTCTCAGTGTGAAATGCAATTGGGTTGAACTGATACTTTCCTCCACCCTTTCCCAAAGCCCGGGAAAGGGGTGCTTGGAACAGTGTCAGCTTGCTGGGTTGGGGGAAGCTGCCAAAGAGCTGCAGGATGGTGATGGGTTATACTCCTGAACTGGTAGCTGTGGCACAGCTGGAGAGCAAGGGATGCTCAGAGCCCTCCTGGTGTTCCAGTCCTCCTAAAACATCTGTTTTTCCCTAACACCTGTAGGGACTTGAGGGAACCTCTGAGCAGAGAGTTTCTCCATGCATCAGCAATGGGAAAAAGAACAAATTCACTGCACAGAAGAGTTGATGGAGAGATGCCAACACAAGCCACAGCCTTTCAGTTACTTCAATTCTTGCAAGATCAATGCAATAGCCAAGAGTGGAAAAATAGGTTCTGTTTGGACCTTCAAATCCCTATAGATAATTGGGGAACAAGAGACCACTTCAGGGTAGAAGGAGGTGTGGGTCTGGGGGGAAAGTGGACAGCAGTGCTTGTACCCACCCCAGGAGGAGGAGACATCTCCATACCCCTGCCTCCCCATGCCCTACTACCTGTCCTGCTGCTGCTCACAGGGAACCTTTGCAGCATCCCATGGCCCTGCTCAGCTCCAGACCTTGGGGACCTGAGCAGCAGCACTAGCAGTGGTGCCCCTCAGCTGCCCCCTCCTTGCTGTGGCTCTGCATGGGGCTGTGGTGGTGGCTGTGGGCTGCCACAGCGAGCCTACCACCCCAAGAGCCAGGAAAGGGCTCAGCCTCTGCGTGGCCCAGCTGCTCATCGTGGCCATGGCCTGGTGCCTGTGGGGATGAGCTGAGATTGTTCAAACCATGGTTTCTTACTTGAAGTTGGAGGCCCTGGCTAGTGTTGGCCAGTTTAAGAAAAGTGACAAACAGTTCCCTACTTTATTCCTAGCAGAAGATAATTTTCCTCTCCGTCCCACTACCTCTGTCCCCACCCCAGTACTGTCCCCTCCCTCACACTGATGATGGGGATCAGCCCTGTGCCAACAGTCTGTCCAAGGAGGGTCTGCATATGGTGCTCCCTTCCTTCATGTCATATGCTTCACTCCTGTCCACCCACTCTGTCCCACAGGTTTAGGGATAGGTGAGTCTATGGTGGCTGCATGGAGCCAGTGGGATGTGACCATGACCCTGGGTCTCTGTGTGCCAAGGATACCTCTGCCCTGGGGCCACAGTGTAGGGGACTTATGGTCTGCCAGCAGGTCTCGTGTCCTCTGCCAGCATCCACAGGCTCAAAGCTTGGGGAAAGCTCATCAGGCACCCTGCAAAGGCTGCAGGAGCAGGGTTGGCAGCATAGGACACCTGTCAGCCCAAGGGGCTGTCCTGTGCTCCAACACGTCCCTGCCCTCTGTCCCTGCAGGAGAGGGTTCCTGGCAAGACAACCGGGGGAAACCAGTGGGGCTTTTCTGGAGAAGCTGCCTACTTCCTGGATGATTCATTGCCAGGACAACAGGGATCCCTGCCCATGGAACTCCCCCCAGCTGGCATAACAGAGACGCTGCCCTGGGCAACGGGAGACAGAAAAGGGTTTAAAAAGTGAGTCGAGAATGGAGACTTGTACTTGGGTTTGATCTTCCTTCCAGGCAAGGATCCTTGCCAGGAGGAGGATTATAGCCTTGGATACACTGAGATCCTTCCAGCGCTTCAATGCCTCTAGGAGGTACAAGCTTTGGGCTTGGAGCTGAGGCTGGAATGCATCAGTGTGCTCCTACTTTCATGGTACAGAGGCTCAGCAGGAGCTGCACTCAGTCAGGAGTGAGGTCCTGACTAAGGACGGTTGTTGCACCCCCTTATTTTTCTCCTCTACCAGTGGAAACACTGGTTGGATTTGCAGCTTCATTGTCCACAGATTCAAGAATACCCCAAAATGCCTTGCATGTGTGTGCTGTGGGCTTACTCAGTGCTGGGACCGGTGTGGGTATTCCCACAAATTCCTGACAGGTGCTTTCTTCCCTTTCAGCCCTGTCTGGATCCCAATGTGGAGATGCAGGTGGGTACACCCAGAGCAAAAGCATCTTTCTGGCTCTAGACTGACACATCTCTGTTGGGCTGAGAGATGCACCCACCATCAGGAAAGGCAGCTGGGAAGTTTCCTGGTACTGCATACAATTCTGTGACTCCTCTATGCAAAGCAACAAGATGCTGGGGAGACAGTCAGCCCCAGCAGCTGGGGAAGCCCAGACATTTCAGTCCTTTGGCTGATGCAGGACTCGGCTTGCCTGAAGGCTCAAAAGGAAGAGGCATCTCTGGGCATACACAGTGGCCTGCACTGGCCTGCGCTCTCCAAAAAATATACCTGATGTCTCAGCTGAGTCCCCAGGGTGGGTCAGTCCAGGTCCCGACTCCATCAGGAGCAACAGAGCCCTGGGGACTGGGAGCAGGTTCCCACTCTTCCGTCTCTCTGTGCCTTCAGTGCTGCTCCCAGGCAGAGCTGAAGTTGGGAGTGGGACTGGGGTTAGGATTGCGAGCAGGGCTGTAGGATTCCTCCCATGGACCACAGCCTGGGGCTCTGGAGCAGCTTCAGCCCAATCTGAGACCAAGGAGCAAGTCCCTGCCCTTGTTCCCTGGTGTGCGCTGCAGAGGCAGACAGGGACTGTGCTCCTGCTGGGGACACCTTTGCAGCCTCATGCTGCCCCAAATGTGCTTCCGACTGCCACAGGGACCAGGCTGTACTCCTACCAGCCCCTCTCTGTCCCTGCTGGTTCTTGCCCTGCAGAGGAACCACAGGCTCTGCTGCCCTCGGGTGCTCTCTCAGGTGCAGGTCAGGACCCCCTGGGGTTCCTGCCAGGGCTGAAATCAGTGTTGTGCTGTAGCAACTCTGGAGCACGTTGAGGGATTGTTTGTGCACTGCTCATGGCTGGCCCACACTGGTGGCTCATCCCAATCCCAAGGCTATTGAATGCTCCTGGATGCATCTCCCCTATATTTGCTGTTGGCTGAGGAGCTCACAGCTGGGAGCAGAGAACCCTGTGTCTAATCCCTCCCTTTGGACCCCAGCCCGTTGCAGTGTCTACAAGCTCAATCTGTTCTTCCTGTTATTTTCCAACCACATATGGAGCTGCAGTGCCGCCCACCAGTGCTCCCAGATGTGCTCCTCCATGTTTAATGAAGCTTTTGAGCAGACCTGAGCCCCACAAACAGCAAACCCCACCTCTCAGAGACACCGGTAAGTGCTTTCTCCTGTTCCAGTGTCTCCTTTTATCCCTTATTCAGCCCTGCAGCCCTCGCCCAGATGGCCCCACCTCGGAGGCTTTTGTTGGAAGAGGTGGATTAGGAAAACCTCTCTCCTTTGTCCAGGGGAGTTGCAGTCCCCTACTGCTGCATGAGTAATGAATTCCTCACCTTCTCCTCTTTGTACTCACCTGACACTTTGCCCCCAGGGAATACTTCTGCTGCTTCATGGTGGGAACAGGCTTTTCTGCCTGATTGGGATGGGTGCCAGCATGACCTCTCTCTTCTGGGGAGTCTGTGCTTGTGCCTCTCCTTGGAGCAGGAAGAGGAAAGCCCTGTCTCTCCACATCACTGAGCTGAACCTGTGTCCACACCAGCTGCAAGGGTTGTAGACACATAGGTAAGAGTTTTCAGGTGCCTCAGGCACGCTGGTGACACATCCTCATCCAGCTTTACCCGGGATTAAGCTCTCTATTTATCCAGGTATGGGGTGAGCCAAAGGCACCAGCACAGTTGGGAGTCAGGGCTCCTTATGTGGTTTCCCCTTTGCCTGGGACACCCATCCCCTTCTCTGGGCTCCTGTCCCATGCCACAAAGAATGATAGAACTATAGAACGCCCCAAGTGGAAAGGACCCACAAGGACAACACAATCACAGAGTCATTAAGGTTGGAAAATACCTCTAAGATCATTGAGTCCAACTCCTGGCCCTGCACAGGACACCCCAACAATACCCCCATGTCCCCGAGAGTGTTGTCCAAATGCTCCTTGAGCTCTGTCAGCCTTGGGGCCGTGTCCACTGCCCTGGGGAGTCTGTTCAGTGCCCCACCATCCTCTGGGGAAAAAACCTTTTCCTAATATCCAACCTAAACCTCCCCTGACACAGCTTCTTGCTGTTCTCTCAGGTCCTGTCATTGGTCAGCAGAGAGAAGAGCTCAACACCTTACCCATCTCATAGGTAAAACTGGCCCCTTTCTGCTGTGGTCCCATCGTGGTGGTGACACCCCATACACAGGCTGAAGTCGTGCAAAATGGGCATCAAATTGTGGGGAACTTACTGTTGCCCCACAGCAATCGCTGCCCCTGCATCTGGTGGATTATCTGGTTATTTCAGGTTACTGAAAATACCGTTTTCAGGTCTGATCATGTTGAGGGGATCTGTCCCTCCTGCTATCAAAGCAACCCCCTAAAAATTCACCATGTGCCTCTGTGCCTGGGGATGCTCAAGACAGGATGAATGTACGGAGAACAGCGCTGCAAAGGACAGAGGTGACAGAGGTGGGAGAATGGCAGCCAGACAGATGGCAGAGAGGCAGGATGGCACTGTGGCAGGACAACCAGGCTGTGCCAGACTGCCTCCCCACGCAGCTGCTTGCACATTGAACCTGCTTGTTTGGGCAGATCCTTTGCTTCACGACTTCAGTCTTGCAGAGGTGACATCTATTATTGTCTTGCTTTGGTGGTGCCCAAAATCCGTGTCCCTGTTTCCTCAGACAAACAAGGCTGCGCTCACTTTCTGGCATCAGGGCAGGCCACTGCTTCATCTTCCATGGCAGAGAAAGCCTTCCCTGTCCCTCACTTTCTTTTTCCCACCAAACTCGATTGTGCCTGGAGCTCGGGCATTGCCCACCTGGGGTGGCCACCTCAGCGCAGCCACCTTGGGGAACCCAAGGGACATGGCTGGGTTCTCTGTGGGTGGCTGAGGCTGCCCACACAGCATGGGCAGAGGTGCTGCCATCCTCTATGCCCTGTTCTCCAGCCAGTGGTGCCTCGGTGGGCTCCATGGGAAAGGAGAGATAACAGGAGCCCTCCTTGCTGGGGCCACAGCTGGCAGTGCTTAACCCTGCCAGGCTGAGCTCAGACAGCAGTGTCGATGTGCTCCCCCGCCGGAACATACCATCACAGGGGTACTGCTCTGGCTATACGTGGGTTTGCCTGGCTGTCATTCCCCTGGGAACTGGAGCATTTCCAATCCAGCATGTCCTAGCTTTTGGTGCCTTCCTGTTTGCACTGCAGGTTGAGTATCCTGGGACACCAGCAATTGGCCAGGGCTGGGCACAGGCTCCCTCAGACCTTGACTCACCCCTCCTACCCCCTTGGGGCTGGAAAGAGGGTGGTAAATATGACCCCATGAAGAGAAGGAGGAGCAACCTGCCCTTGGGGAAGGAAGAGATGTCAACCCCCCTCCCCATGCCACCTACAGACAGCCTGGGAATAGGGTGGCCAAATCTACGCAAGAGCAGGACACTCACATCTATACTCAAATCCCAGGAGGGTCCCACCACACCGAGAGCCTCCTGCTGGACAGGGATTTACTCCAAAGTCCCCAAAAGCAGAATAAGGATAAGGAACAAGGGACCATCCCTACCCGCACAGGGCTCTCCCAACCCTGTCTCTGCTTGCTACCACCCAGAAAAGAGATTTTTTTGTTCCCTTTCAGTCTTAGGTGGACAAGCAGTGAGAAGAGGTCTTCAAAGAGTGAAGCAAGAGGCTTCGCAGCTATTGAGAAAGGAATTAAGTGCAATCCAGAGACGATCTCTCAGCTTCTGTGGTAATCCCCAGTGCAGTTGCACTGTACAGGATGGCAGATGTGTGCCTCAGAGGTGGGCGGCAAGAACAGTCAAGAACAGGTAGGTATTTTTCTGTGGAAACTTGAGAAGAGTTAGCCTGGGAAAGCAGAAAGGCAGCAGAAACAATGCTGCGACAGCCTCGGGGACAGGACTATCATTTCCTGAGGCATCAGCATCAGCAAAGGAGAAAAATTTTTTCACACAAATTAATACATTAGTATCTTGGAGTTGACTGACACAGTTTTCCCAGGGTTAAATGCTTAATGAATCAAAGTGAGGAGGTAAAACACCATACAAACAGACCGACAGGGTGAACACAACAGTCCTGCAGAGAAGCCCTGTGCCGCAGTGATAGGCACTGCTGTGGTAAGGGTCACTCTCTGTGTCCCTTCTGAGATATTTTCTTCCCCAGACTCTGTTGCCAGTCACTGCTGTCACACTGGAGCTTGTCCCCTGTGAGACCTCCAGCAGCAGAACCTCTGCAATGGAGAGGTACGTCAGGCAGAGGGCTTTTGCATCACAAGCCCTCAGTACAGGCTAAGCCCCACAAGCACAGCAATGGGCAGGAAGCTCTGCAGAAGATCCAGCACTGGTGCAATGTGTGCCATGCATGGGTCAGCTGTGAGTGGCAGGAAAGTGCCTTGCTTCAAAAAACAGAAGTGAGGCAGGGTGTGAGGAGCCTCAGCTCACACCCTCAGTGTGAAGGTGTGACCCTCAGCCTGCAACACAGCTGCGCTGGGAGCTGTGTCCTCCAGCCTCCTCTCCTTAGTGATATCTGTTTGTTTATTATTTTGTTCACTGTTTCATCCCATTGTGTAAGCAAGCTCCAAATGTCCTTCTTGGAGCCAGGAGCCCAACCTCCTTTGGCTCACTGCTCCATGTGCAAATGCATCACATTATTCACTTGTGACCATATTAAAAACAGCCTCAATATGTGTCTGGACTCCTCAGGGCTGTCATGAACTTGTGATGATTAAAAGTGATAACACAGCCATAGTTGTTAAATCATGGTAGCTGTGAGACTCTTGGAGCTTTTCTGTGTCTTGGGGTGTTCTGACATTCCCACTGAACCCATGTATAGGCTAAGCCGCAGGGTGGGGGCAGGATGGGACTGAGCCTGAAGTCAAGGACTGTGCCCGGAGGGGTAGCTGGGGCTGATCCCAGGGATAGAGACTGTGCCCAGGGAGGAGGAACAGGATGGGGCTGAGCCCCCCGGTAACAGTGATGTCCGAGGGGCCGGGCTGGGACTGATCCCGGGGACAAGGACCGTGCCCGGGAGAGGTAGATGGGGCTGGTCCCAGGGCGGGGGGGCAGGAAGATCCGACAGGGGCAGCAGCGGGACCCGCAGCCCGGTGCCGCCCCCTGCAGTGCCCCGGAGCCCGGTGTCCCGCCCGGGTGGGCCGGGGCGGCGGTGACTCAGCCGGGAGAGGCGGGCGAAGAGGAGGCGGGGGAGGAGGAGCGGCAGGAGCCGCCGCAGCCTCCGCGGAGCCGCTCACCTGTCTGGCCCCACCATGGCCCGACGTCTGGCCGCCCTGCTCCTGATGCTGGCCCTCGGCTGCCTCCTGGGCATCCTCCTCCTCCTCCTCGGCTCCGGGGACACGCGAGGCCCTCCGGGCTTCAAGGTGAGCGGGGCGGCGGGACGGCACCGTGCGCGGAGTGGTCGGGGCGGCGGGCACCGGGGGGTCCCAGGCACCCGCGGGCTGGGGGAGCCGCCGTGTGCACGCCGGTGTGCGGGAATGCCCGTGCAGGAGAGGCTCCGGCATCAGGGGGTCCCCAGCGTCATGGGAGGCGCCGGGGCTGAGAGGTCCCCGATCTGCGGGAAGGGTCGCAGGGAGAAGCCCCCGCCGGGTGCGCAGGGACGGGCGCGAGACCCCCAGTGTGTCACCCCCGTGCGGGACCCCCGGCTGCGTGAACCCCGGCCGCCCACCCCTGGTGCCTTAGCCCTGCGCTTTAGGAAGGGAATTTGTTGGACACAAGGAAAGATAGCGGCCCTCCAGATCAGAACAGCCGTGTCAGCATCTGCTGCTGCAGCTCTGCTTGGGTCAGGGCTCCACGGCCAACCCCAGCATCTCCCAGCTCTCCGGGTTCTGCTGCATCGCCTAAGCCAACGCTGCTGGGTGACAAATGCACTTCCCTTTGAATGCAAGCTGCTTTTTTTCTTCTTTTTCGTTATAAATTCAGATGGTGAAAGAAGTTCCCCGAAAAATTTCTTGTTGGCCAAGTACCTCTTTTGTACTTTAAGTCTTTTGTTTTAAAACTGTCCCAGGCTCTTGTCCTGGAAAATGGTTCATCTAAACCCCCCTTTTTCTCATCCCAAGAAATTTGCATGGAAACTTTCTGAGCCAGCCTGCATGCCAGATGTGCTGCCTTCTCTCTGGGTTTATCAGATGTAATGAAGATTAGGATCAGAAGAAGAGCTGGCTTAGCAAAGATGATCCTCACTGCTGTTAGTATAACTAGCAATGATTAACTTCTTCCCTGTGACACCTTTCTTTGCCACCCATTGCCACATGGTGGGGCATCTTGGGCATGCCTCAGCTGGTTTCAAAGGGGATTTTATATCTTGGGACATGGGGGAATTAGATTGGTACCAAGACCCCCATATGTAGCACTTGGGTCAGCCTGGAAAGCCTTTCTTCCTCCGGTTCCAAGATGGAACTTTGGTTTTAAGCCAAATGAATTCCCAGAAATTTAGGGTTTGTGCTTTTTTTTTTTTTTTTTTTTTTTTTTTCTCTCTCTCTGCGTGGTAGCACTTTCCAGTCTGCAGGCAGTGCTGCGATTTGGGGATGAGCATCCCTGAAAACTCACGTGGGTCCTGGCCCTGCTCCGCCCAAGGCTGCACTGCCCAACCCAGGGACTCAGAGTTCCTGGACTGCCAAGTGTCACAAGTCCAGCATTGTCCACTGGTGTCCAGCAGTGCCTGTTCCCATAGGGCTGGCACCAGGCAGGCACTAAGAAGTAGCTTCTGCACAGAGCTCAGGGCTGTTTTAGCAATGTAGAACTTTATGTTAGTCTAACTCAGCCCAAAAGATGCCCACATCATTTAGAGGTCAGTCCTGCTCTGGGAGACTCAGGGCATGTCCTCTCACCCACCTGGGCAAGACGTGGTCCTTGGTGGCTCAGTCCACATTAGCTGCTGGGTGATAGTGCTATTCCCTGCTGAGCTACAGCTCCACATCTTCCCTTTCCAGCTCCTTTGCTTGGAAGATAGTCCTAATGCCATCCTGGATTAGTTATCTGGCTGCTGAGGGACTGATCCCAGCAGAGCAGCATCCCACTTCCCTTGTGGGTCCGCAGTGGGGCTCATGGCCTGATAGCCCCGAGATGCTGCCTCCTCTCTCTAACCCTTTTCTTCCCTCTTTTGGCAAATGCATTCGGTGGCCATTTCAATGACCTGTGGGCTCTTCCCATGCCAGTCATATTGGCAGTGCTGTGGCTGCTGCAGCAGGAAGGAAACCTGTAAACCTGGGTGCCCCATGGTGTCGCCACCCTTGAGGGAGGCAGGATGTTGGGGTGCAGGGCTGACCCCACATGCACCATGGGGCAGCCTGGAGAGCCTGTGGGGTGGGAGCTGGAGTCCTGGGCATGTCCATCAGGCCTGGTGCCAGGCTGCAGCACATGAGGCATTCTCAGTGTCCCCGTGCACCTCCTACCCTGGTGTGGGGACATTTCTGGGCAGAGCCATGCACTGACCAGGAGCCCTGAGCCCTGCCCGTGGCCTTTGGGGACATCACTGCTCTCTGCGTCCTCTCTGCAGGGCTTTAGGACTGAGCAGCGCTGGCTGGGGCTGGGCTGAGTGATGCTGCATTGAGGCAGAGCGCATGAGGCCATGGGTGACCCAGGAGGCAGCAGGGCCAGGGTTGGCATTGGGAAAATTTACCAGTGTGGGGCTGCTACAGGGACCCCTCTATGTCCCTCAGCCCTGCAGCATCACCAGGGTCTGGTCAGGAGGTCCTGATAGAAAAATCTGTCATCCCTGTGCCACCAGGAGATGCTGGGGTTGGGGACTGTCCCACACGTATGAGACCCTGCGAAGCCCTGGGTGCTGGCAGACAAGCATGCCAAGGGCAGATGAGAAGGGTGATGGGAGCCAGGCACCGGTGCGGGAGTCTGCCAGGGCATCCTCGTGTCTCCCTAGCCCTCATTTGCAGTGTGCTTGCTGGCAGGCACAGGGCAGCTCAGCAGGCAGAGCTGAGGGCAGTGCTTATGCTGCAAATCACTAAGGGAATAGAATTTTGTCCTCCCTCCTGGGGCTTCCCACCTGCAGGGCCCCTGCAGCCCACCTGCCTGTGCCCACAGCTCAGCCATGACTCGTGCTCGCATGACAGCACATGCTGCTGCCAGATGGGGAATGCAGTGGCTCTGATGCCCAGGCACAGGTTCTGGGCCAGGAACTGACACCATTACAGCACTGCTGTGGGTGATCTCATCCATGATTCCCATGTGGATACTGGAGACATGTGGTACCCTTGGGTCTGGAGGAGGGGACATTCCTTCACTGCTGGGATGCTCTTGGCTGTCCAGGTCTGCCTCGATGATCTCGGAGATCTTTTCCAACCCAGTTGATTCTATGATTCTATGGTTCTATGTGTGCATGAAGGGACTAAGTCCAACCCTTGATCCAACACTGCCATAGTTACTAGACCATACCTGAGCACATGGCTTCCACCCGTGCTCACCACCACCAGTGCTGCCAGCTAGGACGGCTCCTCTGCAGGGACAGGCTGGAGTGCCAAACCCTGCCCCCTGGGAGCAGAACAGGAGGGCTGACATGAGGCTGTGGTGGCTCCTCTTATGCTGGAGTGGCTATAGGGCAGCAACTGGCTGGGCACCAGGCACTCTCTGTGGCTGGTCACATTGCTGCACGTTACCTCAGCTGAGCCGAGTGCTGCTGCCTCTGCCACCAAATCCAGGGGTCCCACAGGATGTCTCTCACCCACCAGTCCACACTTGGCAGCAATGGGCTGGGAGTCCGAGAAGAGAGACCCCCCCCGACCCCAATCCACAAGTGTTGACAGCAAAGGGCACTAGGATGTGCCTATGTGGAGCAGCTGGTTCTGCAGCCTGCCCCAGCATTGTCACTGTTACCGCAACACGTCACCTCTGCATGGGGCTTGTCCTGGGTACAGGCTCCATGCTGCCCCTCACTGCCACCCACCTCCAGCCAGGTGTTCCCTACTTCCCCAGGTGTGCCCCACTTCCCCAAGTGTGCCCCTACACACCCATACACACACCCCCTCCTAAAGGCATGTACACACAGCCACAGGTGCCCCCACGTGCGCACACACACACACAAACATGCTGGCACACCTGTGTGCACATACACCTCGCCTGTGCACACTCGTAGGCACCCCCATGCACCCATCCCCAAACCTGAATTTGTACACACGTGTATGCCCATGCACCCACACGTGCACACCTGCAGCACGCACACTACATGCACACATACATTCCACAAGTGCAACCCCACCCCAGGTGTGCACCCCCACGCATGCACCCCCGCACTAGCTCTCCGTGGGGTGAGAAGCAGGGCGTAGCTGAGCCAGAC